TGTATATCAGTATGTGTCTCTACTTTAAAGAGTCCTCTCCTGCTGATGTTCAGGTGTATATCAGTATGTAGTGTCTCTACTTTAAAGAGTCCTCTCCTGCTGATGTTCAGGTGTATATCAGTATTCAGTGTCTCTACTTTAAAGAGTCCTCTCCTGCTGATGTTCAGGTGTATATCAGTATGTAGTGTCTCTACTTTAAAGAGTCCTCTCCTGCTGATGTTCAGGTGTATATCAGTATGTAGTGTCTCTACTTTAAAGAGTCCTCTCCTGCTGATGTTCAGGTGTATATCAGTATGTAGTGTCTCTACTTTAAAGAGTCCTCTCCTGCTGATGTTCAGGTGTATATCAGTATTCAGTGTCTCTACTTTAAAGAGTCCTCTCCTGCTGATGTTCAGGTGTATATCAGTATGTAGTGTCTCTACTTTAAAGAGTCCTCTCCTGCTGATGTTCAGGTGTATATCAGTATGTAGTGTCTTTACTTTAAAGAGTCCTCTCCTGCTGATGTTCAGGTGTATATCAGTATGTAGTGTCTCTACTTTAAAGAGTCCTCTCCTGCTGATGTTCAGGTGTATATCAGTATGTAGTGTCTCTACTTTAAAGAGTCCTCTCCTGCTGATGTTCAGGTGTATATCAGTATGTAGTGTCTCTACTTTAAAGAGTCCTCTCCTGCTGATGTTCAGTTGTATATCAGTATGCAGTGTCTCTACTTTAAAGAGTCCTCTCCTGCTGATGTTCAGGTGTAGATCAGTATGTAGTGTCTCTACTTTAAAGAGTCCTCTCCTGCTGATGTTCAGGTGTATATCAGTATGTGTCTCTACTTTAAAGAGTCCTCTCCTGCTGATGTTCAGGTGTATATCAGTATGTAGTGTCTCTACTTTAAAGAGTCCTCTCCTGCTGATGTTCAGGTGTATATCAGTATGTAGTGTCTCTACTTTAAAGAGTCCTCTCCTGCTGATGTTCAGGTGTATATCAGTATGTAGTGTCTCTACTTGAAAGAGTCCTCTCCTGCTGATGTTCAGGTGTATAGTGTCTCTACTTTAAAGAGTCCTCTCCTGATGTTCAGGTGTATAGTGTCTCTACTTTAAAGAGTCCTCTCCTGATGTTCACGTGTATAGTGTCTCTACTTTAAAGAGTCCTCTCCTGCTGATGTTCAGGTGTATATCAGTATGTAGTGTCTTTACTTTAAAGAGTCCTCTCCTGCTGATGTTCAGGTGTATATCAGTATGTAGTGTCTTTACTTTAAAGAGTCCTCTCCTGCTGATGTTCAGGTGTATATCAGTATGTAGTGTCTTTACTTTAAAGAGTCCTCTCCTGATGATGTTCAGGTGTATATCAGTATGTAGTGTCTCTACTTTAAAGAGTCCTCTCCTGCTGATGTTCAGGTGTATATCAGTATGTAGTGTCTTTACTTTAAAGAGTCCTCTCCTGATGATGTTCAGGTGTATATCAGTATGTAGTGTCTCTACTTTAAAGAGTCCTCTCCTGCTGATGTTCAGGTGTATATCAGTATGTAGTGTCTCTACTTTAAAGAGTCCTCTCCTGCTGATGTTCAGGTGTATATCAGTATGTAGTGTCTCTACTTTAAAGAGTCCTCTCCTGCTGATGTTCAGGTGTATATCAGTATGTAGTGTCTCTACTTTAAAGAGTCCTCTCCTGCTGATGTTCAGGTGTATATCAGTATTCAGTGTCTCTACTTTAAAGAGTCCTCTCCTGCTGATGTTCAGGTGTATATCAGTATGTAGTGTCTTTACTTTAAAGAGTCCTCTCCTGCTGATGTTCAGGTGTATATCAGTATGTAGTGTCTTTACTTTAAAGAGTCCTCTCCTGCTGATGTTCAGGTGTATATCAGTATGTAGTGTCTCTACTTTAAAGAGTCCTCTCCTGCTGATGTTCAGGTGTATATCAGTATGTAGTGTCTCTACTTTAAAGAGTCCTCTCCTGCTGATGTTCAGGTGTATATCAGTATGTAGTGTCTCTACTTTAAAGAGTCCTCTCCTGCTGATGTTCAGTTGTATATCAGTATGCAGTGTCTCTACTTTAAAGAGTCCTCTCCTGCTGATGTTCAGGTGTAGATCAGTATGTAGTGTCTCTACTTTAAACAGTCCTCTCCTGCTGATGTTCAGGTGTATATCAGTATGTGTCTCTACTTTAAAGAGTCCTCTCCTGCTGATGTTCAGGTGTATATCAGTATGTAGTGTCTCTACTTTAAAGAGTCCTCTCCTGCTGATGTTCAGGTGTATATCAGTATTCAGTGTCTCTACTTTAAAGAGTCCTCTCCTGCTGATGTTCAGGTGTATATCAGTATGTAGTGTCTCTACTTTAAAGAGTCCTCTCCTGCTGATGTTCAGGTGTATATCAGTATGTAGTGTCTCTACTTTAAAGAGTCCTCTCCTGCTGATGTTCAGGTGTATATCAGTATGTAGTGTCTCTACTTTAAAGAGTCCTCTCCTGCTGATGTTCAGGTGTATATCAGTATTCAGTGTCTCTACTTTAAAGAGTCCTCTCCTGCTGATGTTCAGGTGTATATCAGTATGTAGTGTCTCTACTTTAAAGAGTCCTCTCCTGCTGATGTTCAGGTGTATATCAGTATGTAGTGTCTTTACTTTAAAGAGTCCTCTCCTGCTGATGTTCAGGTGTATATCAGTATGTAGTGTCTCTACTTTAAAGAGTCCTCTCCTGCTGATGTTCAGGTGTATATCAGTATGTAGTGTCTCTACTTTAAAGAGTCCTCTCCTGCTGATGTTCAGGTGTATATCAGTATGTAGTGTCTCTACTTTAAAGAGTCCTCTCCTGCTGATGTTCAGTTGTATATCAGTATGCAGTGTCTCTACTTTAAAGAGTCCTCTCCTGCTGATGTTCAGGTGTAGATCAGTATGTAGTGTCTCTACTTTAAAGAGTCCTCTCCTGCTGATGTTCAGGTGTATATCAGTATGTGTCTCTACTTTAAAGAGTCCTCTCCTGCTGATGTTCAGGTGTATATCAGTATGTAGTGTCTCTACTTTAAAGAGTCCTCTCCTGCTGATGTTCAGGTGTATATCAGTATTCAGTGTCTCTACTTTAAAGAGTCCTCTCCTGCTGATGTTCAGGTGTATATCAGTATGTGTCTCTACTTTAAAGAGTCCTCTCCTGCTGATGTTCAGGTGTATATCAGTATGTAGTGTCTCTACTTTAAAGAGTCCTCTCCTGCTGATGTTCAGGTGTATATCAGTATTCAGTGTCTCTACTTTAAAGAGTCCTCTCCTGCTGATGTTCAGGTGTATATCAGTATGTAGTGTCTCTACTTTAAAGAGTCCTCTCCTGCTGATGTTCAGGTGTATATCAGTATGTAGTGTCTCTACTTTAAAGAGTCCTCTCCTGCTGATGTTCAGGTGTATATCAGTATGTAGTGTCTCTACTTTAAAGAGTCCTCTCCTGCTGATGTTCAGGTGTATATCAGTATGTAGTGTCTCTACTTTAAAGAGTCCTCTCCTGCTGATGTTCAGGTGTATATCAGTATTCAGTGTCTCTACTTTAAAGAGTCCTCTCCAGGGTTCGTAATCCTTGAAAATGCTTGAAATTTCATGTGGTGTTTTCAAGGTTTGAAAAGTGCTTGGATTTTGGAGAAAGTGCTTGAAATTGTACTTGCTTTACTTTTATAATAAATTGCTGTCTGACTGAATAGTTCGCTTTCTTCGATAAAAAAAAAAGAGAAAGAAGTCAGAGCAAGCTTAATTACTTTTTATAAAAAGACAGCTCCACTCCTTTTATACATATTTTGATATATGATTCAATACTTTTAGATGTAAATGGTTTATTGTATCATTACTATGGGTCTCTGAAACAATCAGACTTTGACCACACTGTTATCAGACTGTTATCAGACTTTTAGCACTCTTTTCCCCGCAGAAACGACTTTAAACCATCAGTGTCACTATTGTGGGGATGTAGGAATGTACCTGTGTCTGGTGCGGAGCCTCCCTGCACTTTAAATCAATTGATTTGCCTTATCGTATTTTCTGCTGTTAATGCACTGTGCTTTCGCAATTATGCCACATCAAGGTGGAACGCTCTTCCCACAACAGTAAAGGAAAGTAAAACTATACTTACCTTCAAAACCTCTCTTAAAGAGCACCTTCGGGGGAAAGCATTGCAAAACTGGCCCCGGTAATGGTACAAATCTCAACCTGTCGTACAATGGACAGCTTCCCCCCCCCATCTATGTATATACTCGCATTTTAGACTCTGTTACTAACTGTATATCTGTAGACTTGGTATGTCTTAAATGTCCGGTTAGGATGTATTAGAACGAAATCTAAAATGAAAATTGTAAATAAGCCATCTGTATGTAAAAAAAACCACCTGTATGTAAATTGTAAATAAGCCATCTGTATGTCAAATATGTCTTCTATGTCTTAAATGATATGATGAATTGGAAATGGGGGACCCTGATGTAAACAAGACGAAAGTCTTTCTCTGGTCTGCATCCCCTTAACAATTGTATGTTTTGAGCTGTACTGTACTGTACCCAATATACAAGCTGTTAATAAACTTTTCAATCAATCAATCAATCAATGCTCATGTCGGGTGATGCGCTCCCTGGAGCCCTCCTGTGGGGAAACCTGGAACTGCACTTAAATCACTTGGTGCTTTTTAAGCCATTTAAAATAGTTTTTCTCACTTTTAAAATACTTTCTGTCCTAGAAATGATTTTTAATCAGTAATACCATTATTTAGGGGCTGCATGAACACGAATTTGAGCATCCCTGCACACTTTCCTCCTATTTAAAACACTTTTCAGTGAAGTGCTGCAGCCTGATTCTCTCCTATTTCTCTGCCCCTATTTAAAACACTTTTCCTCCTATTTAAAACACTTGCTAGAGGAGAAATCTCTATTTCAGCCCTGATTTTGGCACATCTTGTAAATTAGTTAAATGTAGCCTTGTGTTTTTATTTAAGTCGCTGTTCATTGTTTGTTATATAAAGCAGATTGAATTATATCCTAGACGCTGATGTGTGGATGTTGTGTCCTTTTGATAACTTTGTTGAGCTTGTTTTTAGCTGCATGTCTTTTTCTATCTCACTGAACAAAGTGATGTATGTGAACTGGTTCAGCTGGTAAGGCTGGTTATGAATCAGAGGGAGAAGCTACAGACAGGTGAGGGAAGGGGAAAGTTTGAAGGCAGATTGCCAGATGCCATTTTACAGCTCGACAGGAGGAGAACAACAGGGTGAGTGTTAACACCAGGATCTGCTTTTTAACACATTTATTATTTACTCTGTCAAACTGGATGTCAGAAAATAACTTCTTGGTTAACAATCTGCGTCCTAGAGTCCAATGAGACTTCTGCAAGTGTTGTACACTTTTATTATTTCCTGTTTTCTGATTCTTCAGAGTTACATAACATGTAACATTTTGTCTGCCCAGCGCAGACAAAATGGAGAACGGCCTGTCTGAAGTCTGACTGATTTCATGTATTTTAACCAAGTTTATTATTAAGATGGTTTGTGTGTGTGTGTGTGTGTGTGTGTGTGTGTGTGTGTGTGTGTGTGTGTATGTGTGTGTGTGTGTGTGTGTGTGTGTGTGTGTGTGTGTGTGTGTGTGTGTGTGTGTGTGTGTGTGTGTGTGTGTGTGTGTCTTACTGGGTGTGTGTGTGTGTGTGTGTGTCTTACTGGGCGTGTGTGTGTGTCTTACTGGGCGTTTAGACAGTAGCTGCCGGTCCCGCATGAACTCAGCCCCCTCCTTTTTTATTATTTATCAATTCTTTATTTTTTAAAGCTTTATACCCCAAATCAGCACTTTTGAAACAGGAAGTGAAATAGAGGGATATGAGGCATGGCTAGAATGGGTGCTCTGTTTGGTATTTTGAGCAAAACACTTCATACACATGTTTTTGATATATTTGTATATATCTGAGACCTTGCCTAAAAATAGCATGATAGGTGACCTTTAAGATACAAATATTTTTACTGCATCAAAGAGAGGACACATCTTTCTTAATCACTTCATAAAAGAAAAACATGTTTGAAAAAGTAAAATGTTTGGTCTCCATGCATAAATAATAGGATACATTATACAGTAATATAATTTAAAAACAACATTGTGTGGTAGAGAAAAATAGGGAAATGATCATGTGGACGAGTAACGAAGGATTTCAGGGTTTTTAAAGAAGCCCTGGGAGACAAATGTGAACTAAAATATTATGTCATTTTGACATCTGATCTAAAAAAGTGTCTTGTAGGACGTTCAGCCTTGTGTAGCTAGAATTAGTATAACATCAACAAACATTTTCACATGTTTTATGTATGATTTTTATTTTTTACAAGTCGTTAACACAGGAGAGAAAGACCTAAGAAAATGGATCAGCAGAATTAAAATGTCTCACTTTTGTCTTAGGGCTTCCTGTAACCCAAGAGCAAAACGCTTCTCAAATAGACTTTATCATATCAAAATCAAAGTAGTATCTCACCATGTTTGAACACACCAACACAATATTGCCAGAGAGCAATTACTAGTAAGATGTTCCTGTTATTTCCCCAGAAATTGTCTGTAAATTTACTGTAAATAAGTAAGGCTGATATTCCATCACTAATGCATTGTGTGTGTGATTGATTGATTGAAAAGTTTATTAACAGCTTGTATATTGGGTACAGTACAGTACAGCTCAAAACATACAATTGTTAAGGGGATGCAGACCAGAGAAAGACTTTCGTCTTGTTTACATCAGGGTCCCCCATTTCCAATTCATCATGTGTGTGTGTGTGTGTGTGTGTGTGTGTGTGTGTGTGTGTGTGTGTGTGTGTGTGTGTGTGTGTGTGTGTGTGTGTGTGTGTGGGGGGGGGCGCGTGTGTATATATATGTAGTATGTAGTGTCTCTACTTTAAAGAGTCCTCTCCTGATGATGTTCAGGTGTATATCAGTATGTAGTGTCTCTACTTTAAAGAGTCCTCTCCAGCTGATGTTCAGGTGTATATCAGTATGTAGTGTCTCTACTTTAAAGAGTCCTCTCCTGCTGATGTTCAGGTGTATATCAGTATGTAGTGTCTCTACTTTAAAGAGTCCTCTCCTGCTGATGTTCAGGTGTATATCAGTATGTAGTGTCTCTACTTGAAAGAGTCCTCTCCTGCTGATGTTCAGGTGTATATCAGTATGTAGTGTCTCTACTTTAAAGAGTCCTCTCCTGCTGATGTTCAGGTGTATAGTGTCTCTACTTTAAAGAGTCCTCTCCTGATGTTCAGGTGTATAGTGTCTCCACTTTAAAGAGTCCTCTCCTGATGTTCAGGTGTATAGTGTCTCTACTTTAAAGAGTCCTCTCCTGCTGATGTTCAGGTGTATATCAGTATGTAGTGTCTCTACTTTAAAGAGTCCTCTCCTGCTGATGTTCAGGTGTATATCAGTATGTAGTGTCTCTACTTTAAAGAGTCCTCTCCTGCTGATGTTCAGGTGTATATCAGTATGTAGTGTCTCTACTTTAAAGAGTCCTCTCCTGCTGATGTTCAGGTGTATATCAGTATGTAGTGTCTCTACTTTAAAGAGTCCTCTCCTGCTGATGTTCAGGTGTATATCAGTATTCAGTGTCTCTACTTTAAAGAGTCCTCTCCTGCTGATGTTCAGGTGTATATCAGTATTCAGTGTCTCTACTTTAAAGAGTCCTCTCCAGGGTTCGTAATCCTTGAAAATGCTTGAAATTTCATGTGGTGTTTTCAAGGTTTGAAAAGTGCTTGGATTTTGGATAAAGTGCTTGAATTTTGGTTAAAGTGCTTGGATTTTGGAGAAAGTGCTTGAAATTGTACTTGCTTTACTTTTATAATAAATTGCTGTCTGACTGAATAGTTCACTTTCTTCGATAAAAAAAAAGAGAAAGAAGTCGGAGCGAGCTTAATTACTTTTCATAAAAAGACAGCTCCACTCCTTTTATACATATTTTGATATATAATTCAATACTTTTAGATGTAAATGGTTTATTGTATCATTACTATGGGTCTCTGAAACAATCAGACTTTTACCACACTGTTATCAGACTGTTATCAGACTTTTAGCACTCTTTTCGCCGCAGAAACGACTTTAAACCATCAGTGTCACTATTGTGGGGATGTAGGAATGTACCTGTGTCTGGTGCGGAGCCTCCCTGCACTTTAAATCAATTGATTTGCCTTTTTATTTATCTTATTTTCTACTGTTAATGCACTGTGCTCATGTCGGGTGATGCGCTCCCTGGAGCCCTCCTGTGGGGAAACTTGGAACTGCACTTAAATCACTTTGTGCTTTTTAAGCCATTTAAAATAGTTTTTCTCACTTTTAAAATACTTTCTGTCCTAGAAATTATTTTTAATCAGTATTACCATTATTTAGAGGCTGCATGAACACGAATTTGAGCATCCCTGCACACGTTCCTCCTATTTAAAACACTTTTCAGTGAGGTGCTGCAGCCTGCTTCTATCCTGTTTCTCTGCCCCTATTTAAAACACTTTTCCTCCTATTTAAAACACTTGCTAGAGGTGACATCTCTATTTCAGCCCTGATTTTGGCACATCTTGTAAATTAGTTAAATTTAGCCTTGTGTTTTTATTGAGGTCGCTGTTCATTGTTTGTTATATAAAGCAGATTTAATTATATCCTGGACGCTGATGTGTGGACGTTGTGTCCTTTTGATAACTTTGTTGAGCTTGTTTTTAGCTGCATGTCTTTTTATATCTCACTGAACAAAGTCCCTGTATGTGAACTGGTTCAGCTGGTAAGGCTGGTTATGAATTAGAGGGAGAAGCTGCAGACAGGTGAGGGAAGGGGAAAGTTTGAAGGCAGACTGCCAGATGCCATTTTACAGCTCGACAGGAGGAGAACAACAGGGTGAGTGTTAACACCAGGATCTGCTTTTTAACACATTTATTATTTACTCTGTCAAACTGGATGTCAGAAAATAACTTATTGGTTAAAAATCTGCGTCCTAGAGTCCAATGAGACTTCTGCAAGTGTTGTACACTTTTGTTATTTCCTGTTTTCTGATTCGTCAGAGTTACATAACATGTGACAGCCCAGCGCAGTCAAAATGGAGAGCGGCCTGAAGTCTGACTGATTTCATGTAGTTTAACCAAGTATATTATTAAGGTGTGTGTGTGTGTGTGTGTGTGTGTGTGTGTCTTTTACTGGGCGTGTGTGTGTGTCTTACTGGGCATTTAGACAGTAGCTGCCGGTCCCGCATGAACTCAGCCCCCTCCTTTTTTATTTTTTATCAATTCTTTATTTTTTTAAAGCTTTATACCCCAAATCAGCACTTTTGAAACAGGAAGTGAAATAGAGGGATATGAGGCATGGCTAGAATGGGTGATCTGTTTGGTATTTTGAGCAAAACACTTCATACACATGTTTCTTATATATTTGTATATATCTGAGACCTTGCCTAAAAATAGCATGATAGGTGACCTTTTAAGATACAAATATTTGTACTGCATCAAAGAGAGGACACATCTTTCTTAATCACTTCATAAAAGAAAAACATGTTTGAAAAAGTAAAATGTTTGGTCTCCATGCATAAATAATAGGATACATTATACAGTAATATAATTTAAAAACAACATTGTGTGGTAGAGAAAAATAGGGAAATGATCATGTGGACGAGTAACGAAGGATTTCGGGGTTTTTAAAGAAGCCCTGGGAGACAAATGTGAACTAAAATATTATGTCATTTTGACATCTGATCGAAAAAAGTGTCTTGTAGGACGTTCAGCCTTGTGTAGCTAGAATTAGTATAACATCAACAAACATTTTCACCTGTTTTATGTATGATTTTTATTTTTTACAAGTCGTTAACACAGGAGAGAAAGACCTAAGAAAATGGATCAGCAGAATTAAAATGTCTCACTTTTGTCTTAGGGCTTCCTGTAACACAAGAGCAAAACGCTTCTCAAATAGACTTTATCATATCAAAATCAAAGTAGTATCTCACCATGTTTGAACACACCAACACAATATTGCCAGAGAGCAATTACTAGTAAGATGTTCCTGTTATTTCCCCAGAAATTGTCTGTAAATGTACTGTAAATAAGTAAGGCTGATATTCCATCAGTAATGCATTGTGTGTGTGTGTGTGTGTGTGTGTGTGTGTGTGTGTGTGTGTGTGTGTGTGTGTGTGTGTGTGTGTGTGTGTGTGTGTGTGTGTGTGTGTGTGTGTGTGTGTGTGTGTGTGTGTGTGTGTGTGTGTGTGTGTGTGTGTGTGTGTGTGTGTCTCAGACTGGAGAAGATGAGTGATTTTAAAGATGAGGAAGAGGACAAATCTTCAGTCTCCAGCGGTCTGTCTCTGAAGAGTGACCGGTCTAAAGAGTGGACTCCAGACTTCAGTAATGAACCTGGACCCTCAGACACAAAGTAAGAGTTTCTACTGTAAACTGACCTGAAGAGGATCCAGTTTGTTGGTATCTGATAATCTAAACTGTTTAATGAAACCCAGTAGAGTACATTAACAAAGTTGAATTGATCTCTTGCTTCTTGTCATCATCAGAGATAGTAAATAATCTACTAGTGAAATCATCCTCACACTCTACATGTTGGACTTTGTGTTAAATTAAGCAAATAAAATGCAAATATGTAAAACGTTTCACACTCGAATGAATTTTAACAACAGAAACCCACAATCACGACTCAACAACTCTAAACATCTTTAATAAGGTGAACAGTCATAGATCAAAAGCTGCTCTTTAAATGAACTAATGATGTTTAAAACATGTGTTGTTTCCACAGACAGAGAGCAGAGTCTACGGTCTCCATGTGGTCTCTGAAGAGTGACCGGTCTAAAGAGTGGACTCCAGACTTCAGTAATGAACCTGGACCCTCAGACACAAAGTAAGAGTCTCTCCTGTAAACTGACCTGAAGAGGATCCAGTTTTATGGGCATAGATATGTCTCATAATTATTTGTGTGAACAGAAAAATAATTTGTGTGTAAATATGTGATTTGTAAATGTAAAACACCATCCACAAATGCATTTAAAAGATTTGCAAACTCACAAATACATTTGCAAATGTAAAACGGATCTGCAAATAGGCTAAATATTTTCACAAATAAAAAAAAGATCTGTGAATATCTCTTTAACATTGACAACTTTCGATCAGGCATTTGTGAATCCATTTTGTATTTGTCAACCAAAAATGCGCTTGTGGATCTCAAATCTCTGCTTGTGGATCGTCTTTTTACACACACGGAATTTTGAGACATACTTTCCGCCGGTCTCGGCTAAAATCTACTCGTGTCTCTCGGTTATTTTCGGAAACCACGTGATGGCCTGCTGATGACGACATTTACGCATGATTTCAAAGTAAGAGCATGATGGTTTGTGTAATGCTCTGTTTTTTTATTATAATGAACAGCGGAACGTTAGATGCATTCTTCATCACCATCATCATCATGTTATAGTGATACAGTTAGTTTGTGTTAGTTTATTGGTTCAATACAGCATATATCGAGCACATTCGTATGCATTGATGTTGAAGTACAGGCTATACGCCACTTTCGGGTCCCGGGGGAGCAGCTGGCAGCGAAGCAGCCCAGAGATAAATCTTTCTTCATTGTTTTTTGTGTATTCAGTCAAGCGGGTCACAGTTACAAAGCACTTCACATTTTATTAATCGGCCTAGTTTTACTTTACCAATGCAGTGGTAAGGTAATCTGTAAAAAAGCACCGTATTTAGGTTAGCCTTCATAGTAAGGCTACATTAAATGTTATAATATTGTGTCATTTCTACTGTATATGCATATATTCCTGTCTATTGCTTTCATTTGTATTTCATGTTATTATGTTTATACTTGTTTCCACACATTTCACAATTTGGGATGAATGAAGTATCTATCTATATGTCTGTCTATATGTGAAATTCATAATTTGCTACAGTACAGTACAAGTAGCCTACTTCGGGGTGTTTCATTCAAGCTCGGCTCTGTGTGGCACGACGAGAGAGAGAGAGAGAGAGAGAGAGAGAGAGAGAGAGAGAGAGAGAGAGAGAGAGAGAGAGAGAGAGAGAGAGAGAGAGAGAGAGAGAGAGAGAGAGAGAGAGAGAGAGAGAGAGAGAGATGCTAACCGATTAGAAGCTGTTTCTACAACTTGAAAGGAAAGTCCTCTCCTGTCAGATAACGTCAGCTCAGTGAGGTAAAGGACTATCTCAGTGTTTAGATAGTTAACTTTAGTCTAAGTTATCTCAGTGGGTCTCAAAACAGTTTGATCACCATTTATGTTAACAAGTATTTCCGAGGCACACTCCACATGATCATTATAGTTATAAAACAATAAGAGAATAAATGAAAAACAGGTATGAAATACAATATGACAGTAAAACAAGAATACAGTTTCAAAGGGGAGTGATTAGTAAAATATCCATAAAGAAAAAGTAAATCTGTTTACAGTTCTGTTTCATATGGGTGTTGAGAGAGGTATCCATAGATCTCTTCATGTTGCTCTCAAAAGTGCACCAGATTGATGCTTTTAACTTCAATAATAATTAAAAAAAAAATCTTCTCCGATATGCCGTGAGCTGATTATCGAGCCTTCATTGTAACAGTCGCGGGTGTAGCTGTATGTGCGTGTGGGGAGTGTTGCAGTAGAACATTTCACTGTAGCCCATAGCATTAATGGGAAACCCTACATGTTAGAGCTATCTATCTATCTATCTATCTATCTGTATCTATCTATATCTATCTATATATCTATCTATCTATCTATCTATCTATCTATCTATCTATCTATCTATCTATATCTATCTATCTATCTATCTATCTGTAGGTAGGTGTAGGTAGGTAGACGGACAGACGGACGGACGGATAGATCATGGATAGATAGATGGATATATAGATAGATAGATAGATACTTCATTCATCCCAAATTGTGAAATGTGTGGAAACAATAACATTAATTACAAATGAAAGCAATAGACAGGAATATATGCATATACAGTAGTAAGGACGCGATGAATATTATAACATTTAATGTAGCCTTACTAAGGCTGACCTAAATACGTTGCTTTTCTACAGATTACCTTACCACTGCACTAGGCCGATTAATAAATTGTGAAGTACTTTGTCACTTTGACCCGCTTGACTGAATACACAAAAAACAATGAAGAAAGTTGAACCAATAAACTAACACAAACTAACTGTATCACTATAACATGATGATGATGGTGATTGTTACGACCCTGGGTCGTTATGTCATTTGTGTGTAGATATTTTCCCCTCCTCCTGTATCTGTCCTGTTGTGCTGTGGTCCTACTTATACCGTATACTGGTCCTCTTGCTTGTCTTGAAAACCTCAGAAAATAAACTACTTTAACCTGTCCTTGTTGGACACGCTTTAATTTATGCAAAAGTGTGAAACCCTTTTCTTTTGGTTAATTCTCGTTTTCTCCTGTTTATACGTCAGAGTAGGTAAGAAGCCTGTACGTTTATTTTTCTTATTTGTTAGGCAATATTTATGTGTTCAGAGATTTGTTTGTTTTGTGGGTTGTTGCGTTTCTTTGTTAAAAACTTTGGTAATTAAAATTACCAAACGGCATTCTCTGTCTCGGTGTCCATGTTCTTGGGAGTGGGAAGAGTTGGGAGAGGGCAATTTTATGCTGCACCTAGTTTCCCCTAAATCTGGGCGTAACAGTGATAAAGAGTGCATCTAACATAGCCGTGGGAACATGTTTCAAATGGGGGGTGCTGTGGGGATGACACCAGGGCCGGTTCTGACCAATTTGCTGCCCTAGGCAAGATTTTAGCTGGCATCCCCCCCCCCAAAGCCTGAAAAACGTATAGTAGAAAAGATAAAGATCGATAGAGTATCCAAGGAATACACAATAGAATATATAAAGAATAAAGGAAAAACCTACAAAAGACCAATACACTACAAAAACAGAAACTAATGCCCCTTTCACACCAACGCGTTTTCAGCTCCGGCTCGGAGCTGGAGCTGAAAAGTACCGGTTTTTCCTCTTCACACCGCAGCGGCGCTGCCTCTTAGCTCCGGAATCCGGTTCGTTTCCAGCTCCAAAAAATTGTCAGTCTAGAAGCAAGACTCCGGAGCTAAGAGGCGGCGTCGCTTACGTCTCTCTTACGTCGAGGCGTGCAGGAAACTAAACCCACCTCTCCTGAACATGGGTCGACTGAAGAGTCTCGTCATGCCTGCCTACAAGCAGTAGCGCTGAGCAAAGTGACGAGAAGGCAACCACACACTTGTAAAAAAAAACACACTTTATAAAGTCAGGCAACACTAACCAGGCTTCGTGTGATTCTGTTTATTTGTACCTTACTTTGACCATCCGTTCGCTGTTATTGATCATTGTGGAGAGCAGGCAGACGTTTTGTTTTGTATTAGCTATCGGATGGAATCAATACATGGGCTGCAACTTAAGGGGAACTGGGGATATGTATCAGCTGCTTGTGTGACAGTCAGACAGTGATACTTTAGAGCGGCCGCTGCCATGTGAGCTAACCCGGAGCTAACGGGAGAATACACTCCCGTTGAAGAGCAGCCGGCCAGCACTGCAGCGGTCGGTAAATGCCGCTGAAACACATTAATAAACAATGAACCACGGCACTCTGGAGAAAAGTATAAGGTTGGAGAAGTCGTTATTTAATTTAATCTGGCTTCGTATGATTAAAAGCAACACGATCATCGACCCGACGCAGTCCCCCGTTGTTGTTGCTGTTGTTGTTGTTGTTGTGAGCGCCGTTGGGGAGCAAATCAGCGATGTAAACGGTGACGTCATGATGCAGCAGCGGCAGCACCAGTCGGGCGGTGTGAACAAAGCGGGAGCAGAAAAGGGAAACCGTAGCTGAACCAGAAAAGCTCTAGCACGGAGCTAGAATGGGAAAAGCGCTGGTGTGAAAGCCGCATTATTGACATGTTGGACAGCTTATATAAAAAGGCTTCAAATGTATTTAGTATTGTATTAACATGTTTTAGCACGTCACATCCTCTAAGGGGGTCCGGGGGTATGCCCCCCCGGGAAGATTGTTTTTAACATTTTAAAGTAAAATGCTTCAATCTGGAGCACTTTGAGCATAATTACAAGAGACTGGATCTAGGGGGTACAACTCTAAAACACCCATATGAAAAAGATCGGTTTACATTTTAATAACCAAATAAGTATGTGAACATAACCAATAACCCATAGCCAATAACAAATAAATGTAACATACTTTATTTTTGTTGTTCATTTATATCTTATTTTACCTAGTTAACAGTTATTTATTTATGCATATTTTTTAATTTCTCCAGTTTTAAAGGATATTTTTGGTT